TTCGGTCTCTCAGAGATCCAAGACAAGGGAATCCGCTGTTTAGGTATGGTGTTTTGGAAGATGAACTTCGGATACTCTTTCGCTTTAACAGTAGCTGCCTGATGATTCCTAAAGTCAGGATTTTGTCTTGCAACTTGCTTTCAATTGCTATCTCATCTGATTTGCTTTCACTGATAACTGTTTCCAAGCGTTCGTCGTGGTTTGCCATTAAGATTTACAAAATTCAACTTCTCTCAACCTCTTGGTCTGATCTGAGATCTTCACGCGTTGAAGCCTTTTTTGGCGCGCAAAATCCAAGTCTAGTGCGCCTGCGCCGACTGAACATTGCTGTATGGGATGTTAAATCGCTCTCAACACCTCTCAGCAACACCTTTAACAATAGAAATGTTGAGTCTGTTCGCTGAACATTTTTGAATCTGTTCAAACTCCACAGCGCTGAACACCGCTCAACACTACTCAACATAACTGAACAGGATGTTAAAATGCTCTCAACATTTGCACTCTACAAATGTTGAGCGATGTTCAGTGAAATGTGGAGAGCGTTTATCTGCAGGTGTTTATCTACCGGGTACATTTTGGCAGCATTACACTCCGTTAATGCGATCAGAATATTTTAGCATTATTAATATTTAAATTTCAGCTATTACAAAGCAACTTCAGCTGTAAAACTATTAGTTTTTTGTAAGTTCTAAAATAATCTTTTGTGGTCACGTAGTTTATTCAACTTTTAGAAACACTGAATAGAACTCTTCTGTTCTTCAACTGGACCCACTTCTTGATAATAGATAAGTTCTGTGAAATGTATTTCTTGCACGAAATTAGCGTAAAGAGATGTAGACGACCTGGTGCATTGTGCTTCGCAATTTCAGAGGCGGGGCCACAAAACTGAGCCTGGGGGGCTAAGGATCAAGTTTAGTGACATAGGAGGACCCACCATGGTTGGGTCCGACGCGAAATTTTTTTTGAAATAAAGCCTTCTAGGATGGCTAGAAATGCATCTCCCAGACTAAAATTGTCTCTGTTTTTGTCAAATATCTTGGGATTAATCTTCTTCTGTGATGTTCCTGAAAATTCTCTTCTGGATCAACTGAAAACTGAACTGCAGAACTTTTTAATATCTTTGAATGTTTTTAAAAATTAAATGAAGTACAATTTTCTACAAAAAAGTTTATTTTCCCGTCAAAATCCCAATTTTACCTACTAAAACACAAATGCCTATTCTTTTTGGGGGGAGCGGTGTTACACCCCTTACACTCCCCATGGAGCCGGCCCTGATTGTGAGTAACTGACAGCACCTTGACGCTCCCAGCTTACCCTTAAGTCAACGGTCTGGTTGGCTAACGGATCCAATACGCATAACAATGGTGCTCAAAAGTCCTGCCAATAGAAGCAAAACAGGCAATCTCTTTTCTTACAAAAAGCCTTCCAAAACGCAAAGATTGATACAATGCAATCTCGTTTACCCGAACAGCTTGGATTGTAAGGAAATGTGAGAGGAGTTGTTCAAATACGCCGAAAGTTCGGATGATCAAGGAAAAGATTTTGGTCCGGAAAAACCACACACAAGAAAAGAGAAAGAGGCAAAAATACCATTTTAGATTTCAGTAATGTCAGGGTATAAAGAATGGCATTAGAATGTTTAGAATGAATTTAAAGATGTGTGCATTCTCTGGTAGGAAAAGCAAATGAATAGAAAATAATTTTGTGTATGCACCCCAGATGTTCATTCAAACACACAAATACGGTGGCCACGGCTAAATGGCTAATGCTACGTTTTTTGAACACTTCTTCCCCAAACTATGATTTGCCTCGTCTACTCTCACGAAACCTCTATGACGAGTCCTAAGAATGATGCTCCCAGCGTAAGGATTTAAGCATGTGGTTAGGCACAAATATTATTTATGCAATTACATAAGTACGCTTCATGAGTCTAATAGTTGGAAATGTGATTGGATAAATGTTCTGTCAAATAAAACCTATATCTAAAGCCAGGGGCGAAGCCAAAAAAATTGGCATTACTGAAATCTAAAATGATATTTTTGCTTCTTTCTCTTTTTTTGTGTGTGATTTTTCCGGACCAAAATCTTACCCTCAATCATATAAACTTTTTAGTGTGAAGGGCTATCGCCCTTAAATATTTGAAATGAGAAAAATGAAAGAAAGGGGATAAATTTGTTTTATTTCATGTTGTACTTTTTAATTGTCTGATAACAGGGTGTTTGTCCTGCCCCCGCTGCTGCACCCATGTCCGGGTCGGGGGTCTACTTTGCTAACAGGGTCTTCAAAGTTCAGAAAACATCCATTTTTCACGACCACTGACCGGAGGAAGGTCGTAGAAACAAATTCAGAAACAAACAAAAGTGAAAATTTTTAGAAGTCTGAGGCAGTTGAAAGAAATCGTATTGCCTTTATGTTTTCAAAATACACACTTTTTATAAGAATACTTTTTTTGCCGAGCCTCAATGTTCCTAAAAATTTTCAATTTTGAGCCTAACATTTTTCTTAAATAATTCTTGCCCAACACAAGGTGCGAATTCGGCTTAAGATCAAAGAAAAATATTAAATCTTTTTTGATGTGTTGCTTCATCATAAATTTCATCAAATAGAAAAACAAATGTGATATTAAAATGCAAAATCTAATGATACATACATACATATATATTTAGAATATTTATATATAAATATTGTAAAATAAAGTATTTTACAGGACAGGTAAAGCTCATAAATCAGACTCCAGTTCGCAATAACGTTTTTAAAAAACCAAGATTCTTCAATAGCGATCGTATAATCAGCAGCAACCAACAACTACAAAATGACGACTTTATTCAACGAAAACTTCGACTAGACTGGACTTGCTCTCAAAGAACATACGCTTTTAACAACATGAGTGACGCACACAAAACCCAAATGACACAAATTAACGGCAAATGGACTAATAATAACTAAAATAGAGATGGCACGATGACAAACAAAATGACTGACGCAAACATCGAAAGACATTCTCATTAACAATAACGAACCACAAACACTATGCACGACAGACAAAACTAGTTGTATAACAATATATCATAGAGTTGAAGAAAGTAAAACTACATGGTTTATCTCTACAAGCCTGTTTCGTGAGTAAATCACTCTTCAGGAGCTCTACGTGCTAACGTATTGAGCACTGTGCTATGGAAGTATCAAAAAACAAATTTCTATATATAAATATATATATATATATATATATATAAATAAATACAGTACTAGAATATTTTAACTCAAATTGGCTGAAGATTCTGAGCGATCAGATGAAACCGGAACCAACAATGTGTTATTTCTGCGATTAAATCTATATTGCAAGTATATAAATATATATATATAGAAATATTCCAGATTGCGTTGTCTATTCTGACGTGACAGTGCTCGATGTGCAAAAGCACAGAGCAATAGATATAATAAAATAGAATATATACTAGAAATGAGACATGTTCTCTGTTACTCCGAGTTTCGTGCTTGCGAACTCATCAGACAGACTATAATGTCTAGTGAATTATAGTGAATAATGAATTATAGTCTGTCTGATGAGTGCGTAAGCACGAAACTCGGAGTAACAGAGAACATGTCTCATTTCTAGTATATATTCTATTTTATTATATATATAGAAATATATAGATATATAGAACGTTTCGAGCGAAGTCTTCAGTCACCAGTAAACTATATATATATTTATGGCGTCAAAATGACAGCTGTTTTGCTTCGGGAAAAATCTCAGATTAAGGAAAAATTTTAGTCTTGATGGAGGTTGAGCCTGGCATTATTCTTAAATTATTCTTAAATTTTAGCAATTTTAAGCCTCAATATTCTTATGGACCTAATTCTTATAAAAAAGTGTGTGCAGCAAGATAAAAGTGAAAATGTTATTTATAAACCTCCGGTTTTTTATACGAATGTATTTGAAGAACTGCTCTGCAATGTAAAACATAGACCTGGACTTTCTGTAATTTATATATTTAAATTGACACACTTTTATTATTAATTGATATAATCATGTAACCTTTCATGTGTCTAAAAATAACAATAACCTAATAATTGCTTCTTTTTTAAAAAACGGTTTTGAAAAACAGCGTCACAAGGAAAGGGGATAAAGTCTAGTAGAGTACCCCAATTGCCTGACCGCGCTCATTTTAGACCCGTTAAAAACGAGGAATGTTTTTTAGTAAGATCTTCATGGCCCGGGAAGGTTGCCAACGGTTCTGGACTCGGAGTAATATCATTTCAGGCTGAAAATTCCGAGTCAAGGTGTCATTTCAATGGAAGTAACCTGTCTGCCCCAGCTTTTTTAAAAAAGAGTTAGTTTCCTGGATCCTATTGAGAACCGGCATCATGTTTTCAGAATTTATTTCCAGGACAGGGGCATTAAGTTTTTATCTTCATGCACATCCACGTCATTTTCATTCCAGGTTATCACCCGGCCATGGCTGCAAACCGTAACAGTTGCAAATGTCTTCTCGAATAAAATCTTTTCTGAAACGATGCAAAACATTTTTTATAATGTATGATGATGTATCTTAAACACCATAAAATGAATCTTGTGGGTTCATTCAGGGCTCGAACCGACTTAGCATACATACATTTTACAATACGATGAAGTAAGACAGTGGTTGTTTTTAATATGCTTTTCTTTGTCGCGGTTTCACCTTTAGAAAACACGAAGTTAATTCTACTGCTGTGAACTTCACTTCATTTTCCTTTGTTTATATTTTAATTTCCGCACAAATAACTCGTTTCCCGATTTATCAATCCATCGTAGAACAACTGGGTTCACTTCTCATCTCCGATCTTGAATATCTGAACTTAAATTCTCCTTACTCGTTAACATATTAGGTTTATTCATCAAATCAATTCAAGAATTTTATATTCATCAAAGTTATTTTCTTTTACAAAATTGTAACACGACAAAAAACTCACATACCACTATCAGTCAATGATTCAGTAAAAATGCGTTTTTTTAAAGTCGGAAATATCCCCTGTCATTACCAGATGCTTTAACAAAAGAAACATTAAATTGGTAATCCAATGAAATTGAACAATCATTATAAGCAAATGGTTAGAGTCGAGTGTGTTCGCGAATAACCTGCTGTGTAAGAGTTCATTGTTCCGAAACAATCGTCGTTGCTCCGTTGCCAACTTGCAGTCAAACTACCGGTCGCACTTCACATGCATCGTGCTATCTCCGACGTTGTTTAGACAAAGTTTTGGAAAGCTTGAAGAAGTAACCCAGGTTTATAAAATGGAAGAGGAAAGCTATGGAGCTTGCAACAAAGACAAAGAGTCCAACCAAGGACATCTTGTCAACGTGGACATGTTTTTAGAGCACATTGGTGAATTTGGGAAGATGCAAATTATCTTACAGATTATGTTTTGCATCATGATGCTGCCTGCAACTTATCAAACGCTGTTACTAACCTTCGCAGCAAATAACCCGGATTGGAAGTGCACAGGTCTTTCTGCAGAATGCAACAACACGAACACGATTTTCCACAGCAGCCATGATTTCTACGAACAAAGATGCAAGTTTAAAAATCGTAGTTCTTGGGAGTTCGTTCAACCGAAAAAGTTCTCTATTGTTACCGAGGTATATTTTTTTAATCAAGTTACTTATGATCTTTAGAAAAGCAAAAATTGTTTATATACAGGCGTCATCGCAGTTGCTTTCTGGGAGGGGGAGGGGCGTTGTGGACAATAACGTGACGAACATCCCGAGCAATTTTATCAGAGTGCGAAAAATAGAAATTAGCCTAATAAGTTTAAGAATTGGGGGTTATAGTTAACTCCTGACCCTGCCCCCACCCAGAATGCCACTACGATAGGCCTGTCAGCTTTAGTATGTAGAGTGATGCTCTAAGGATCAGCATTTTATGTCCGGTCACAACAGGTCTCTTCTCTTGGAGTCTTGCTCGAACTCCAACAGCGTGAATGAATATTCTGATTCTTTCCAAGTTTTGTATTTGAAGAAACACCTGTAAACCTTTGTGGATTCAGCCATGACAAATACTGATTATTCTCACCAACAGATAATATCAAAAACTAGATTTTCAAGAAACCAAAAATAACTTTCCCTCCATCATCATGATTACTCCGATTTGGCCATCCATTTTCTGCGTTAATATATCAAGGGCAATTTGGCAGATCTAATTGATTTTTCATATTTGAAAGCATTCCTTGGTGTGCTTTCAAGCTCTATGTTCAAAATCCAAAAATTTGAAAATGTATTCTTTTGACCTTTTTTTTCACGTCAAGAGATTCCCTTCCGTTCTGATGCTGTATTTAGATGTGGGAAGTATATTTTATCCTTTGTGTCTTGAGTTCTAGGCCAACAGGGCAATAATGTTATTGGATTCTATAAAATTTCGTTGTTCTTAGTTTTATCACGATTTAATAGTTTCTTAATTTTTTTGCTTCGAGTACTGAAGTTTCTTAATTTTTTCTGACTGTCCAGTACCCCCTTTTTTATAGCCAGTTACTTATAAAAAGAATGAGTGTAATCTCACTAAAACTACACACTGGGTGTCAACATTACGGTCTTTTTTCTATTCTTTAAAAGAATACACTTTGACGGAAATTAATTCACCAAACTGCTCAAATGAAAAGTTGTTTTAGAAGTTTATCCCTATATCAACAAACAGAACAAATGTAATCTGCAAATCAACCGTGAAATTTTTATTAAGCGCCCTTAATTCAGTGTTGAAATGAGAAAAACATAAAGAAAAAAAAGGAAAATCCGGACATTCCACGTGTAAAGTTTTTTTAACAGATTCAAAACAGAGGAAATTGCTGTAAAATATGGAAGGTTAAGTAGAACCGATCATAAGTTGAAATCAAAACGGCCAAATGGCAACTCTGTACAGAACGAATTGAATTCAAGTGTTGTCGTGCAAAAAAATCTGATTGTGAAAAGTACAAAACTAATCTGATGAATTTTGAATCAATCAAAGAACATTCTGTGGCGTAGAAGACAACAATAGGGAATGGCTTTGCTTCGTGATCCTTCGAACCTCATGAATTTGTAAATGACTTTCCTTCATCTTTACGTTGTAGCAACAGAAATTTTAGGAAATCAGTTTTGTTTTTGCTAGAGGCATCTTTCGGACTAGCTTTCAGGATAAACGACAGGGACCTTGTATGCTTTCTTCAGGTTTAGCGTTGGCTGCATTCAGAGGAAATTTCTGCATATCTTTTGTTTTTGACAAATTAAACCAGTAGCCCATTTATCAACATGGAACGCCAATTTTACCTCAAAGGAAGGCCGATGACCAACTTGTGGTTACCTAAAGGCAGTTTGAATCAACGCATTACCTTTTTAAACGTACGTTGCAAAAAAATTGCCAAGAAATAAAAAATTGATTCTGCCGAGAACTGGGGGGCCCCAGTTCCCCCATGGCGCCGCTACTGTACCTGTGGCTGAGAAATTGATTTTGCTCGAATTTAGAAACCCAAACAATTTATCAAAAACGAACTTGGTAACAATAAGTCAATGGAATAGCGACTATTTGATTTTGCTTGATGCCACGACAAGCCTTGAACTCTAAAGGTAGCTATTAACGGCACAAAGCCATGACTTTTCCCCTGTCTATTAAAAGGGGTCTAGACCCCTAGGTAATTATTCTTTCCCCTAATTTGATGACACGTTTTCTCCTTGGGAGGGTACCCAATTTTTTCAGGGAAGCGGGAATTGGCAAATTTTTTTGAACGGGGCTCGGGAATCGATATTACCGGAATTCGGGAATTGATTGTCGGGAATCGGGCCAAAAACGAAGCAGGAATTCGGGATTCAGGGGGCCTATTGACTACCCTCGTTTGGAAAAGATTCCCAAGGGGTCCGCCATATTTCTTGCATTGGCAATTTTATAACGAAGTGGTTAAGATAATGGCTTCAATTTGACGTGTATCTCTGTGAAAATGAAGAATATCGAGAGTGAATTAACGGTTTTCGGCATTCAGTCCATAAGTATTTCATTGGTAAAGTGTCAAGTTACGAAAAAGTGTCAGTTCATTTGCTGGGAAGCTGATCAATGCGCATTCATGATCCACGTGATCACTAGGAAAATTGTAGGCTCTGCGTATGTTATGAACGTCGATGATAAAACTATAACCAGAATAAATATGCTTGGGTATTATTAGCAAACGAAAGCCCATGAGCTCGTAATAAGTAAGCACTTATCTTTATCGAGCGCAACAACAAATAGAGTTTAAAGTGCCTTTGCTACATCCCCACCGTGAGTAAAATCCCTCTCACTCGAGAAACTTGTCATTCACAGGTTAATCCACCCTTTCTATGCTACTCAGGGGCTTTGGCTGTTTTCCACAAATCCTACTTTGGTTACTAAAAATGGCAATTAATCGTGTATGGCATGTTGAACTGAGCTCATGTTCCTCTTGTGAACAAACGCTTTTCTAGTTGGATTTTTGGCCTAGAATCCTATTCATGATTGGCAGTCAAGACAGAAGGGGGGTTCTGCCGAAAGGCTAACATTCATTGAGGTGGCCCACGTGGATGATCATTTCTACAAAATTACGTCCGAAGACGTTGTACACATGCCAAAACTCTTTCTGAAAGTTGTTTGGTATTCTTTTTTTCATGTTTTTCCTTATCTTTCAAAGTTATGATATGTTCCCTTTACATCTTAGTGGGATTTGATTTGCGAGAAGAACTCACTATCATACCTGGCAAATTCAGCCCTATTTCTTGGATGGGCCGTCGGGGCCCTGGTGCTTAGTGCCATCGCCGACAGGTAAGTACCAACCCAATATGTTGTCTCTAACTTTTGTGAATTGCACAGCTAGGAAAGTCTTTTCGGTACAGATTTCTAGATATTTCATTACATCAAACCTTTTCAAGCTATTCTCAATTATTAAAGAATTTCTGCAAACTGTCTTAATTATTTAGTCATAATAATTTTCAACTTTTTGCTGTTAAAACATCTCCCTTAAATAGACGACACTTTTATTGATGATCAAATGTACGGAGACGTCAAAAAAGATTGTTTATCTGCTACTGTAACGGTACAATAGGCACTTGATTACAAGTAGATATACAAGCTAAAATATGTGGGTTGTTTGACAAAAATTCTTAAATAAAGGTATGCAATAAGTTTACAGCAAAGGAAAACTGCTACATCATATCTTTTCCATATATATGAATTGATCTGGACCAAGACCCCGAAGCTAGTTTTAGGACAGAGAAGCCACGCTTATCGAGCTTATGTGACAACACGTCGAGATTCTTATGCAGGGACGAATTTAGACGGTGTAAGATAATGATTGGATTTTGGTTCCGCACCTTTCAGAAGGTTGGAAAAAGATGGGAGCGACCATTTTGAAATTTCAGATTTTAGATGTAAGATAAAGAAGATAAGACGACAAAAAAGTTAATGTGCTTTTTAACCGAATCAAAGCAAAGTTTACAAAAGGACCCTAAACAAATTAGAGGATAGGGGGGGGGGGCCGACTCTAAGTATCTTTGCGCGCAGGCTATGTTCCTAGGCCAGGAAAAACAGAGAGCTGGCGACACTCCACATTTCAAGTGAAAAAATGGTCATGTCATTGACTCGAACCACAGACCCTGAATCTGTAGTCCACGACTCGAACAACTGAGCAATGTTTTAGCTAGATTCTTTTGTTTTTGCAGGTTTGGTCGAAAGTCCGTCCTATTTCCATCTCTTGGCACTGTTATACTTTGTGGATTCATCAGCGCTTTCGTTCATAATTTCTGGCTGTTTTTCGTGTTGAGGCTAATCACCGGATTTGCCCAAGGTGGTGTTGGCCTATCCATCTATGTATTGGCAACAGAGCTTGTTGGTCCTAACTTCAGGGCTTTGTCTGGGACAATAGTTTGGTTTGCGTTCACAGCAGCGTTGTGCCTGATCGGATTAAAAGCTTACTTGGTACCTGACTGGAGAATGTTGGAGATCATCGTGTCAGCTCCTTATGCATTTGTCATAGTATTTTGGAAGTATGTATCTTGAAAACAGTTTTCTTTTCTCATGTTAAATAGAATTTTCATCGGGTTGGATTGCTTGATTTTCCAGCAATACTTGGGTCAGCAGATATGACGCAGAAATGTGATTCAGAAGCAGGGGTGCCGTCCTAAATACCCTGGGTACAAGACTCACTATATAAAATAATAGAGAGTCTGGTCTAGTGCGCCCCATTCTCGTTCGGGTGAACTTACTTGAAAGAACTGAAGTCTATTTAACAGACTAGGCCTGTGAAACAAGACTGTCGGATAAATAACAAAGATACTCAGTAGTCGGAGGAGTTTTGGGAAATCTTAAAGCCAATGTATTTTATATAGTTCTGTAAAGTTGACATTATTAATACAGTGATAACAGACTTTTCTGCCTCAAGGTTCCAATCAAATCAGGTGTAAAACGCCTTGGCAGCAAAAAGCATATGCGAAGCATGAAATTAAAGTTAGCACAATGCAGTTACTAAATGTTAATCATTGTTAAATTTCGCATACAACTTAAAATAAGACTTTTGTAATTTTCCACATAAATTGTGTGTACTTTCAGTCTACTTCCTCACTGTGAATAGCTTGGACACCGCGGCGGTTAGAATCATCACGTTGGAAGTTCGCCACAGCAAATATGGCCAATATGACAAGCGAAGCCCCGTATGCCGGGGAAAATATTAGCCATAACTGATTTACTTGTGTTTGTTGTTGTTTGTTCTCGGCGCCTTGCGGTGTTTCTCATTTACTGCATTTCACTACAAGGCCTAATTTCTTTGCAATGAGAGGCACTGCCTGAAATATCAGAGACTTTCCAAAGCCAGTTGGCAATATGGCGAAGGTGTCTCTTCTCTCTACAAACAAGGCTTTCAATGTTGTTCTGTGTTAAGTTCCACAACATGCGGAAAATATTCTTTGAGTACAGTTTTAACAGCATCTTCAAACTAAATCGTTACAGTCGCTAGCATTTATTTATGTTGTGTTCTGTTCAATGTTTTACACCAGAGCTAAGTTTATTGTTTCGCTGTGACCTTTGAACGTACAGAAATCTGTACACTCGCTCCTGATTGGGAACGAGAATGGGGCGCACTAGACCAGACTCTCTATTTTATTTCATATATAGTGAGTCTGGTACCCAGGGTACGTCCTAAATAGCTTTGCTGTACTGCAGGCAACTTTAGATAGCAAAACCAAAGACCACACCCATGAACACGCCCTATACGCTTGAATTTATTATTAAGATCTTTTGTTGTTTATTCGAAATAACTGAAACTATTCACCGACTCTAAAATGCTAACGTAAATTCCTATTTCATGGAAATGTATATTGCATAGCCATAGTTCACATTGCCTAGAAAGTAATTCATCCAACCAAACATATAATGGCTTGTTAAGGAAGTGGGCCTGAGCTACTCTAATATCCCTCAAAAATTTACAGAGGGGGCTGAACCTCACCGAGCCCTCCTTCGCGATCCCTCTGTTGAGAAGTGATTTGCAATCATCCCCAGTGATTTGAAATGATTTTCTATCATCCTCAAATACCGAAAGTGACAAAGCAACGTCAATCCGCTCCAGAATCAATAGAATTAAATCGTAGTCTTTTTCCCAGGAAAAGAAATTTCCAAATCTTACGGTTACTGAGTATTGACTCCACAACATTTCTCCCAAGCCTGTCTCTACAACAAAACGCCCTCATTCCTCTACTCTTGAAACACTCTTGACATTCAAGTTTATCTGCCAAATTCTTCTGAGAAATCTAACAAGGTTAATTTGACCTCTTTTTGCAGTATATGCTTATTTATCATACTAGGAGTTGACACTGAGCGGGGAGCGAGGGTGAAGCACCACAAGGGTGAAACACCGCAAGGTTGAAGCACTGCACTTTGACTGGGTCGGCTTCGTCTTCGGATTGATCAGCCTCTGCACCGCCCATCGCTTTGATCTCAAGTGATTTGCATTTCGAGATGACGCGTTTGATTAAAATGGCACCAAGGTAAAAGAAACATGAAGAGGATGATTTAGATTTCCACTCATGTTGAAAGTTTTAGAGAGCTTGAATCCTTTCTGATTTTAGTAGCAACACCAGACTTTTTTAATACAAAATCCTGGCTGGGTGAGATCTGAAATACGGAAGGAAAATATAAAGGCGTTCTTACTGACCTCATCAGTTTCAAATAACTGGGACAGAAATAGTTGAAGAAACTATCATATTGTCATTGAGCAGATCCACCATGTCATCTCATTTGCTAGAAGAAATACTGAGGTTAAATAAGGGTTAGCAACAAATGAAAATTGAAGGAAGATGTCTCATTAAAGAACGTAACTAGCTGTGCTCAGCAAAGAGAGCCTCGATACGAAGAGGGGACCAAATAGCATTGTGCATCGAAATAGAATAACCCCTTCTCCAAGTAAGGTGGGTTAGCAGTAAAAAAACGTATTGAGCACGATGTTATGGAAAGTTCTTATTCGTCGTTTAATTGCGCTTTGATAATGCATTTATTTTACTTCACATCCTGTGAGAATCGTTAAACTCGGGTTACGTAGAGGGGAGAGGAGAAGAACGAGACTCTCAGCAACTTATATTTAACGTAATTGTTTATATGGCCGTTCGCTGATTTTCAGGGAACATTTTTAAATGACAAACATGTTTGCTGATTTTGAAAACTTTGTGAGATGAATTAATTCTTATTCCAGTATTTGACATCTTTCATCTTGGTGTCTCAAGATGTATTCATATCGATGAGTTGTCATATAACTGAAATTTCGCTTAGGTACTGTCACAGAGGCTACTCATCACTATGTTTAGTTAAAACTTTGCATGATTCGTTCATGGTATTCTGTCGTTCGTTACAGTTGTAGAACTTTCTATATCGATTAGAATCCCGTTATATTCACTTTTCAGCCACATATTATGATACATTTCCTGGCCTAGGCCACACCTTCATTTCCATCTTGCAGTCGTTCTAAGCTCAGATGATATCCAATGTTGCAATAGAGGAAATTATTTATTTTTTATGCTTATCTTTTTCTCATCACCTTACTTCACGGTTTGTCTGTAACTCAGTTTAAGGTAATTCATGATTTCTCCTGCAATTACAGATGCGTTCCAGAATCCGTCAGGTGGTTGAGAGTAAATGACAAGGTTGACGAAGCAGAAGTTATTTTGAGAAAAGTTGCTAAGACTAATGGCAAGATCCAACCGACCGTGAAACTTTCCACTGCGGAGAAGGACACTGCGCATGGCACCTACGCTGATTTATTTCGACCGGCGTCAACATGTAGAGACACACTGGTTCAGTCATTCGCTTGGTAAGAGTAATTCTCCCCTCGAACTAAATAATTACTTTAATGTAGAGTTTGAGTATGAAGGAAATTTTGTATAATTTCTGCCGATGAACTTATAAAGGACATATAACATACACCCTACTGTATAGGATTATTTCCACTTTTTTTCTGACCCCCTCCATCGCCTTACTACAGCTATCCTCTTAAAAATTTTGTATATTGCCTCCAAACAAACATTTGCGCTGCGTCGCGTCACACTGCGTTTCGTTGCTATATACCTACATCTCTTCTCAGGTTCGTGAATGGCATGGTCTACTATGGTGTTTCCCTGGCATCTGATAATTTAGGTGGCGATATGTACAGGGACTTCGTTTTAACCAGTCTGGTCGAACTTCCGGCAAATATCTTGGTTATTTATCTGGGTAACAAGTAAGTTATTCTAAGCCTTATTAGTTTATCTTGGAACCCTTCAATACTTGACATAATGTGCTTGTAATACACTCTTTGATTTATCGAAATATCAACAATATAATAGTGCAAGAGTACTCTCCCAAATTTCTTTAAATCGTCAAAATTAGTCTTTACAAGCAATGAAATATTTTGCCTTCAAATCCATTAACTGTTTGTTTTGTGTCAGGGCCATGTAACTTTTGTGCTTCCATGATAAAATTATAGCAATACCTAAACAGTGAAATTCTTCAGAAACATCAACGCGACGTAAAAGACTTGCAACATACTTTGTACAACAAATTGTGCAACATATTTTGTCTGCTCTTGTTTACAGAATTGGCAGAAAACCAACCACGATATGGTCTATGTTTATCGGAGCATTGTCATGTGGTGCAGTTGCCTTCATACCAAACATAGCAAGCAATTCAGGTATGCTCCTGTTTTTATGAAATATGGCATTGATTTTTGTAGGAATTCAAAATTGGACAGTTTATAACTTGAAAGTGACGTCTAGGTACTTATACTTATTAGTTGCACTTATAGGAGTCAAGCATTTTCCTTTAAACATATGTGAAGATGCTGGCATTTGCCAAGCGAACTCTTTTCTAAATATAGTTCAAGCATATTATCCAATGGTAGAGCAGTATGATACTCAAAATCCTATCCAATGAGGTAAAGGAAACAACACAATCAAATAAAACATATCTAACAAAAAATGATAAATTATCAACTCAAAACGGCTCTTTATTTTTAGATCATCTACCTTACCTTTGCACAAACACTTAAATCGTTGGTTGAACAATTGTCCTGTGTTTCCCGTTTATTCTGTGTTTCAAAAATGAAGACGTTGCAGGGATGGCTAGCTGCTTTTAGTTGCATTTTTTGGCTATTTTAATGCAACGTAATTAAGATGAAATTAATAGTTGTAATTGATAGATATAGATGTAATTAGGTTTTAGAAGGCAGAAGCAAAATATTTTACCTTCGTTTTCAACTCGCGCCACCGTAGAGATTCTCAGATAGGGAATGTTTTTGCCAAAAACGGTTTTATCGTCATATGCATGATATCTATTTACATTTTGAATCGGGCTTTGCTGAGGAGGGAAAACAAGTTTAAGGAGAGATAAAAAACATGGCATTCCAGCTGTCTCTCACAAACAGAACCGCATTGGTACCAAAAGGAAATGAATTTGTTTTTTGTTCAATATAACTAACCTTAAAGGTCAAATCTAGATTTGTGACAAAAACCTAGTGACTTACTGAAATATCCTATATTTAAGTACCTTTCAGTTATTCAAGAAGTACATTGATTTAACCATAATTTAAAACATGTGTTATCTAGGGTTGTCTGAGAAATCGACACCTTAATGGTTTCATGATCTTTGATAGGAGCAAATGAACCAGGAATGTCACCTTAGATTCAGTAAATTATGGGAGATTAAGGGCACCTGAAAATTTGATGGGGAAGGGAATGAGAAAAGCTGGCAAGATATTGGATCCTAGTTTTCCACTTTTTACCCATTAATGATAACGAACTTAGGGTTTTTTAGACTGGAATTGTAAGTTACCCTTGTAGAACCTTGATAGGCGTTGAGACGAGCACGGTACAAATTAATTTAACGGTTCCAAACAAGACCATGTTTGTGAATTAACCATCTTAATTAGTGCGACCGTCCTTAAAGTGAACGATCAATAGATTCATTTTGGCTCGTTGCTTGAAGTACAGGGTCTCAGGTAACCTTCTCAAAGTTTTACTGACAATCCATAATATAATTATCAAAACGAAGATTAAAAGTTTTTCCATTCGAGTTTTTCAAGTTCTTCTTCTGAATGGCGTGTGTCTGTTTTTAGCTTACATGGGGCTGCGTATTACACTCGGCATGCTGGGAAAATTGTGCATCACCGTATCATTCAATGAGTTGTATGTCTGGTCTGTGGAGCTGAACCCAACTATTGTCAGGTAAGCAATATAGACGTATATGTTGCAGTTAGAGTGAAAGGCATCGAGTCATGATAAAATGGATTGGGTATACCCAAAGTGCCAAAATCCGCTGAGTCACGATTTTCATGACTGCGATGCTATTGGCTGACCTTAAACTGGTCAACAACGGATGCCAATATCACGTGAAATAGCAACGATCACGCCGAAACCAAATTACCCCTATAGAGAAGGCCTATTTACCATGACTCAATGCCTTTAATGTGATGTTCGATGTGTGTTCGGTGTCGGTTTTTCTCAAAACAACAATTACTCTTAGGTCCCGAATAAGCGTCCCCTCGCCAATTTTTTTCGAAGAAATTTCAGACCCCCGCTCTCATTAGGCCCCCCCCCGCTTATTAAATTTTCATTTTTTGTAAGAGAGCCCTTCACAAAGGGTGAACGACTGAGGTTGAATTGGTGGGTAAAAGTAGTAGGACATTATTCTTCTGTTCTGTTTTGAAACTACCGTCTTGATGTTAACAGATTTTTTTCCTTTAACACTGCTTAGTACTCTTTTACACCAAATTCCCCCCCTCGCTTATTTCCACCCCCCGCTTATTGAATTTTAGGAAATTTTTCAACCAAATTAGCCATCTTTTATGTTAGGGCAGCTAAAGCTGTTAGTGGCCGCTTCTTTTTCTTGATTCAGCCTTTAACAAAATTTTCACGAAACACTTCTTGCTTCAGATATTAGTAGAAATAGTGTGCTTGAATGGATGATTATTCCTTTTGATTTCTTGAATATGCTTTTTGATAACTCTCTATCATTGCGGGTTATCTCAGGCCGAGAAATAGTTGGGCTTTTCATTGTTTATGTCTTCACAGATCTCAAGGCATGGGCCTACTTCAGGTCATCAGCAGAATCGGCGCAGCTACTGCGCCATGGGTTGCGCAGTGGCTGAGGCTCTACGGGGATTACCTACCGTTTCTTTTAATGGGTGGTTTGACAATGGTTGCGACATTTCTGTGCTTCACCTTGAAAGAAACCAAAGGAAAAGAGACTGCTGAAGTTTTCACAAGAAAGTCAAAACCAGCAATAGAAGGTCAGTGATTTCTCAAGTGTCGTTAAAAATTATACAGTAACTATTCAATTATCCGACCCACCGTTTATCCGGACTTCGATTATCCGGTCCGTTAAAAATGTGAAAAACCTTAGGAAGAATTTTCTGCATTTTTGATAAATATGTCGGGTGCGTTTTTCTTGCTTTCCATTTTAAAAATCTTATGAGTATTTTGAGAGGATTTGGTGCATTAGATTGTAATGTGTGCTTAGAAATAAACTTTCAAAACACTCGTCTATTTTATTTACGCTGGTTTCTGCCCTTATTCGTATATTTTCAATTATCCGGAATTTTGGATTATCCGCATGAAATCCCGTGTCCCGAGAAGACCGGATAATTGAATAAGTACTGTTGTGTTATCTTTCGATGCACGATAATTGGATGACTGTTTTTTGGGAGGCGGGAGAGGGGAGGGGGGCTACTAGAGTCAGCGTTAGGGGGAGTATTGAAAGTTCTTCAATGAGGCGCTAGATTAGCTTAGCTTTAAAGTGTCCAAAAACCTACTTGAATATACTTCACCCAATATACGAAAAATATAACCAATAGATACTTAAATAGAAATATCTGTTTTGTAGCCTAGAGTAGTGAGCATCATTCTCTTTTGTTATGTTTTGTTTTATATCCTTGTGTTTGTGGTATTTATCTGAAATTTTGTTGCTTTTCAGAGGTAACCATGGTGAAGATGGATCATTCTAGGGTTGAACCAAATGTTGAGGTCATGGCTATTAGACGTGAAGATGAAATTGTTTTGTCTAACAAAGATGTCACAGAACCTATAATGGGATGATACATGTATACAAGACAGATTAAAAACAGTTTATAGCTACGCATTAAGTGGCTGCTTCATTTTTTTAACTAGTTGGGTATCATTGGCATCAACTGTATAGGTAACATCAACGCCTTATGCCAAAAGAAAATAAAATGAGAGATGGCAAAAATTGACCATGTTTAATATGCAGGTTGGGATCGAGACTATAAAATGCAAACGAAGCAACGTTTGTCTTGACAAACCTCGAAGAGAAACCAAACTCTTTCTGCATACTTAAAGGAGCTGGGTCACGTAAACTTAAACAAACATTATGTGCGGGATGCGCTGCGATTTTCTGTCCCACCAAATCTCATAGGGTATTCGCCCCATTCACAAGCATCAGCACAACAGCATTGTCCCGCAGCCTTACACGTGACCTAATCCCTTCTCCGAAAGTCTTTGTCTAGGAATATTTCATACTTTCATAAGTGGTAGACAAATGAGCTGAAAAAAAGGAATGACTTCGAACCTCGTTTCTTGTTGCATCAAATTTCTTAAAAGTTTGGGTTTTCAACGTCTTCTCCTACCATACAGGACCACTGCTAGAATTTGTTTCTCCAGTTTTTTTATTGCAATCAGTTATGAATCTTCCTCTCTGCCAAATGCAGAGTCATTTCATCCATTCAGATCTGATTGCTTTTCATATACTGTAGAAATTTTTTTTATCCTAAGCTCACATAGGTGAATCCCACAGCTGTTTTCATTCACTAGAATATTAATGGGACTTTTTACTCGTTTTTATCAAGTAAATCTTTTAATTCACGGATTTAGATCAAATGAAATATTTAAATAACCCAAATCCTTTGAGCGCAAAATTAATGTTGATTTAAAGTTTTCATGTTTTCTTCAGAAGATGGTTCACCCTGTGTGATAAAGGGATCTGACTAAAGCCTTTGGATTATCGTAAATACTTATGTAGATAATTCATCACGTTTGCAGAGACAGGAAAAGAGGAAACAGTCCTCCCAGATCCCATTTGCTAAAAAAGTGGGTGAGCCATCCTTTTTTGCCAACATATTTGAAGATTCGCAGATTAAGCATTTCCTATATGGCAATAAACTCCACGTTTTACAATTGTTTTCCAAGGTTGGTGTCACACTTGCCCCAGCGTAGCGAAGGGTCTGGCTTGCACAGGGCAGTCTAGAGTTTTTTGATAGGCCTGGCCAATTAAAATGAATAAACTACGTTGTATTTTTAACTTAAAACATTCCATGGAGCTGCATAAACAGACTTCAATATCTTGCCAGCGCCGATATTCTTTATTTTAATCTTAGTGGTGTCGTAATTGTTCCTAGAGTCACAGTTATAATTGACCATCCTCAAGGTCATCCTCAAGTCTCACGTTGATCATTTTGCTTTAAGATGTCACCCTTTTAGAATGTAATCTAATAATGGTACCAAAACTCCAGTTTGTGTAGGATTATTTTTACGGGACATTTCAAAGTGCTCAGATCTTATTACACCATAAATGCACTGACCTTTATTTCTCCAGGTTTTCTTTTCAAGTCAGTGGCGTAGCTTGACCTTCCAGACTAGGGAGTGGAGGGTGATGTGAAGTAAAATTTTTCGACGAAGACATATAGATGAAGATAAATTTAGGTGCCCTTTCACCTACCGTTAGACGACTACACCGACAAACCAGGGAATTTTTGCACCAACTAAACATTTACCGACAAACTCATGGAAAATGGGGGGGGCGGTGTCACAACCCCTACACTTCCGCTAGCTACGCCCCTGATTCTGGTCTAAAAATTTAACATAACGTCTGGGATTTTTATGAACTCAACACACGAAGAACATTTTTGTAGCATAATGCGATTTAATTTACAAAAAGTCCAATTATTCGGGATAAGGAGTTTTTCCAATTCTGTGTAAAACGGGGATGTATCCAATTCTATAAAAAAGTATATTCGATTCTGTTGCAAATCACCATTGTAGCAGAGAAATAAGTATTTTATTCTTGGAATTATTCAGAAAGAAGTAGGTGGTGCACTAACCTTGATTAAGCCACGTTTAAGTTTTCGAATTCGATTTAAGTTTGAAATTTTCTTGATTTTGTAAAAAACGTTCTTATATAGAAGTTGCTTTGGGGTATAATATGGTAGTTATCATAGAAAAAATACAACTTTGTTTATGTCAAAATATTTTCTGACTGGGTTAGAGATCATTTATGATTCAATTTTGTAAAACTTTCGATAAAGATTGTAAGATTTGATGAATTTTACTGCTTGTTGTATTTTTAAATTTTATTGACTCAGATTTCACACTGGGTTTGTAGCAAATCGCTGTATTTATAACGCTTAGCTTTTGATTCATTTGTTCCAAGTAATGCCCTGGTGCAGGGGCCCAATGGAAGTTGCTGAAAAATTTGGCTTTTTAAGGCTAGCTATAGCCCCCTTTGCCCCAAAGCCAACGCCCCCTTGACCTGGTATAGTCGATACGTTGATAATTAGTGTTCTTGTCAAAAACTGGGGAGAAACCTGTTATACGGTTCTGTCTATTATACGTTAAAATATCTCTAGATTTGAAGTTAAGAACGAGAGGAAATTGTATTCTGGTTTGTATTTAAGATGTTAGCTACATTATCCTAGTTTTATCATGTATAGTAGTATTTGCAACTTTACCTTTTTCAAGGAAAGCCTATTGCAACGACATTCAAATGAGTTATCTTTTCATTGTGTTATCTTTGGAGAAATGACAAATATCAAGTGTGTTCAGAAAACAAGAAATTGGGCAATAAAATAAGATAGTATAAAAACAAAGATTAAATTTGGAGGAAATGCTCACAAAAGAATTTTCCTGATACTTTTTCAACATGATATTGTTATAAAATTTGACAAAAAAGGAAAGAAAACGACAAACAATTTTTCACAAGAAACAGTTATCCATCTACTTTAATTTGAGATAGCTCAGTGACAACATGGCGTATGGGTCATCGGTTCAAATTTTGATGCTCGTAGAATTGACATTGTGCTTGCGAATGCTACTCAACTGGTCAACTTTTGGTTTTACAAAAACGTCCAACAGAAGCAGAAAACTTTTTGGTTGTAATTCTGAATTTTGGAAGCAACGCAAAGCCACATAGCTCAATGCCGCGTGGCTGGGCAAACTATTGTTCCCATCTCTTTTACTTCCATGGACCAGCAGATTCAGAATATTTCCTCTGGCTACCCCAATTCTATTCCTGTCGATTGAGACATCAACATTGTTTTCTGAAATACATTTTTCTCTATTTTGAGAGGACCATGAAAGTTTTAATGTAGCTATTTTCAGGTTGCATTTTTGAGAGTAATATATTCTTATAATAATTTTTCAATCTTGTTGTAAACTTTGTCATTTAGCTAAGTTTCCATTATTATATTTTAGTTAACAACTGTAATAATTTGCATGAAACTTTTTTTTTGTAATTGTAAACTTGTTATATAATTAAACTGAAATTATGTTTTGTCAAAACGGCCATCAAAAACTGCAAATAAATGATGCATGTCAGCTGTAATACACCGAGCATGCGCAGTAATTTGATTTGCAGCATGGTTTGTTTTCGGCGCAGAAATTACGGTGACCATGTGAGAAATGCTGAAGGAGATGAAATCCGTTGTCATCTATGAGAATTATTCGAAGATACCTCAGAATTTAGCTTGAATCTTTGTGAGGAATAATTTTTTTGTATTTATTTTGAATCTGTTTTGGTAAATACTACTGTAAGCACAGTTCATGCATGTATTTCTCATTTTGGCTAGGCCTAGTGTAGCACTTATTGCAGGCACTTATTGCAATGTGAGTTTCACGTATTATTCTTTAGAAAAAACATTCTCATGCATTGTAAAAGTAAAGCAACGATATTTTTGCTTTTTTGCATTGCAGTTGCTTATTTGTGGTAGGCCTACTCCGCGAAATGTGCGGTCTAGCTTGCATAGCATCGCAAATCTTGACACGCGCCAGATTACCTCTGCATGCCAAAATCTGAAATTGCACACCGTATTTACATTATTAAAGAAAACTTCTGTCAACTCGCAAAATTTTAGGTAAAGGAAAGGTTGAACGCGGAAATCATAAGACGGTTTCAGACCTGTCATGGACTTTGAATCGCATTTCCAAGCCATTCTACAAGTCAAAGCATTTTGAATCAAGGGAGCTGTGGCAACTGGGCAAATTGCTCCAGGACCTCTGAAGGCTAGGGGGACCCATTCAAGTGATGAATTAGAATTTGAGAATAGAATTAATGAAGGTCAGAATGAACCTCCAGGTTGATTCATCAACCAATGACCTTTCAGCTGAGCCAAACTGCTCAAAATATGTACAAATGATTCACGATAACTTTTTTGTCATTTTTCTTAGGGGACAATGTCACTTGTTCCAGCTCAAGACATTCACCAGTTTTGCTTAAATGGTGGTTGGGTAATCTTACCCTACTGAAGTACCCAACTGGAACAGTTGTGCAGAATTGCTTTTGATGATGCCAAGGTGCAAATAGCAAATTATCCACAAAGCTTTAGAACAACAAAAAAGATTGAGACTCGCTGTGGTGAGCATGAAATCTGATTGCAGTATTTGATGACTCATGAGGTAATGTAGGATACAGTTATGATTTTCTTCGAATTTCATTTTCCAATTCCAGCCAAGTTAAATCTTAAAACAGTCTGGAAAAACAAGCAGAAAATTGAGACAGGAAACAAACAGAAAACATTTTTACTTGACCTTTATATTTGTTTGATTTTTTATTATTAGTGAGCCCGGGAAGCCCTCCAGCCAATGAGCTGGGGAAGCAATGGTTTTTATTTTTTCTAAGTATTTGTCTCAAGTCACAAACTCTGCATATATTTTGAAACATCAATACTTTCAATTTTTTTCTTGTGTGAAAAAGATTGTTGTTGGTTAAACAGCACCTTCACTGTTAAAAATAGATGCCAACCATAATTTTAAAAATGGGCAAATGGTGCACCTATGGATGAAAATACTTGTAATGAATTTAAAACTTTTCTTTTAAAGCCAAAGCTAGGGAATACAACTTTTAAGAAAGAAACATAGCTTATAAGCAAGTAAGCTAGTCTGGATATAGAAGAGATTGTTATGAAACTCATAAATAGAAGTTGGAAATATCCTCTAGAATTTTGATAATAAAGGTCATGGAAAGAAGTATTTTAGCTTTAAGAAGGGGACAAGATTTTATTCTATTGATCCTTCAGTTTACAGTTTTGAATAACTATTTTAGGAAATAATTCTAGGAAGCAGGGTATATACTATAAAAATTATTATTTGAGGTTGTGGTAATATTTATCTTGGCCTAAAACTGTGATTAGAATCCTTTTAAAAAACTGAGTTAGTAAAACTCTTGAAAGTGTGTAGCTTATGTGACGATATCGTCTTTTCCATAGTGGCACTTGTCTGAAATAAACTGTGGATCTATCCATCTTATTTTGGAGAACAATTCGCCGTTGTAACCTTCAAACCTCTAGTTGAGTGTCCTTTCTAAGCCTGGGATTACTTGATGCTTCACCTCCCAGACGCTCTCCAAACACTTCTTTGCCGAAAGGGTTGAGCGTTAACTTCTATGGTAAGGTACTAGCGGTTTTCCCAGTACTTTAAAAAATATTCCTACAAATTCTCCTTCATAGCTTACTTTGAATCGGTGCATGTATCTGTCAAGAAACTCTGCATCTGTCCCTATCGCTTTTCTTTGAGCTTGCAAGAGGCTGTTTACATGAAGTGGGCTAACTTACTTGAGTTATCTGGTTAACTCCGGATAATTTCCCAATCAGGAAAGGAATAAATTGATATTTGTCATTGTTGTGAAAACTGGTGTTCATCATTGTTTCCTGAATAGCTCTATAGGCAACTCAATGATTTATCCTTTCAGCTTAATTGCATTTATCCAGCTTTTTTGGTTTGGCAGAGCCGTAGTGACTGAAAGCTGTTTATATTTGTTTGCTATATACAAAACAAGAGATATCTGCACTTAGTTCTTTCTGTTGAAGTGCTCTCTTTTTTAGCTTTCTTTTTTCTGATGTTAGGGCATTCAGATTGTTTTGGCATTCAGATTGTTTAAGGCAATACCTGTAGCCTGTCCAACATCCTAGCTCGAACCACTCTTTTCTAGCTCCAACACTATCTTTTGAAGATAACAGGTCTACCATTTGAAGTCTGTATAGTTTTAGATGAAGGGAATCGATCCAAAAGACCAATTATGATGGTCCTAAGAATCCTGCATTGACCTGCATACAATCAGGCCTAATATAGAATGAACAGTGATGCTATTGCTCTTGTTACGGTTTTCAAGAACCTGTCTCGAATCTTCATGAAGGTAACATTTCTGCCATCTGGAGCCTGCATGGTTTTTGAGGGAACTTATTTCAGAAAGATTAATTTTAATCGCCACAACAATCCTGCTTCTACTTAGAGGCAGAGCAGGTGATCTTGCAGTTTTGAAACATCTGGAACAAGAAGAAAGCAATTTTTAAAAAAGAAATAAAGTCAACTCAGGTATGCAAATGCAACCAACTGCTAGTCGTCTCATAAGGTGCCGGAAATTTAGTCTGATAACAAGGTCACTCCACCAATTGAATAGCAGTTTTTAAGTTGACAGACCATTCTCACAACAGCAGTCTCTTTCTGTATAAAGGACAACGGATGGGGCAACCCCTGCTGCATCAAACCTTCTGCCATTGGTCGGAGAGTGGCGGATGATTCGGAGGATGTGATGACTGATTGGAGAATCTCTCCCCACTCATTGCCAACGTTGACAGCAAAACTTGCAAAGTAGGAATCGCTACCAGCAAGCTTCTTGCAGACCTTTTTAGTGGCATCTATCTTCAAGACAGATTCAAAGGTACTCGTCAGCGTGGACCTGAGAGATTCAAGTCTTTTCCACATATCCCTTGCATAGCAAGCCAGAAACCATTGGGATTTTGGAATCTTTTTGAATCCTTCCTCCTTCTGGTAATCTTGCGCTGTGCCAGCCAAGACTCCTTTTGAGTAAAGAACACACTCTCGCAAGTACTCGGCATACCTTCTTAGCCATTCTTCCGTGTGCAGCTCTGACATTGTTGACTGCAAGGAACTAGGACTGTTGCCCAGCTTCCTTGAGCTTAGCATGGAAACAACTGACCTGTCACAGGCATACTGACGCGACAAAACTGAGGGCAAACGGCAACTGTTACAAGATCCTCTGGTTGTACTCTATAATGTTCATGCCACATCTGCTACATGCAAAATATTCAGAAGCAACATGACGTATCTAAGACTAGACGAACATGATTATAGAGATTCCATTGATGTAGTTCCTCTGGCACAACGATAAACTGGCAGTAACTGGCCTCCTTTAGTCACCTGTCTGGTGACTGTATAAGTGGGAAGTCAGGGTCTTCCAGACAGGGGACATGCTTCATTTCGAGGGCCCAGATATTTGAGATCTCCTCCTTGAAAGCTGGCACTAGGACTGTTGCCCAGCTTTCTTGAGTGTAGCATGGAAACAACTGACCTGTCACAGGCATACTGACACAACAAAACTGAGGGCAAACGGCAACTGTTACAAGATCCTCTGGTTGTACTCTATAATGTTCATGCCACATCTGCTACATGCAAAATATTCAGAAGCAACATGACGTATCTAAGACTAGACGAACATGATTATAGAGATTCCATTGATGTAGTTCCTCTGGCACAATGATAAACTGGCAGTAACTGGCCTCCTTTAGTCACCTGTCTGGTGACTGTATAAGTGGGAAGTCAGGGTCTTCCAGACAGGGGACATGCTTCATTTCGAGGGCCCAGATATTTGAGATCTCCTTGAAAACTGGCACCCCAAGTGTATCTGTCATGGCCGTCATGTTCAATATGAGGTCCTCTATCAAGGATTTGATCTCTTTTGGTGTCTGTGTCTGTCTCCTGCAATGTCTCGTTAGCTCAGCAAAGGTTATTGCTTGATCCACTACCATATCAGAGGGGTCTCTGACTCTAGCAGCAATCAGCTCCTCTTTAAAAGGAAAAGATGCGAGTAATGAAAAAACAAACTAGAATAATTTGATGGTGGTTTTGTGGCAAGCTGAAAGTAAGAAAATTATTCACTCAAGTTAAACTGCACAGAAAAGTCCATTCAATTGTTAAGAAAACCTCTTTTGGCATCTTTGAGATTGTAGACATTACTAGCATCCCATTCAAAGATACAACCAGACAGCCTTCACATGAAAGTACCATCAAGAGGATGCGACTCCGACGTGCATCCAACTGCCAGTCTTCTCATAAAATGCCAGACGTCTAGTCTGATAACAAGGTCACTCCACCAATTGAATAGCAGTTTGTAACTTGACGGACCATTCTGACGACAGCAGTCTCTATTTGTATACAGGACAACGGATGGGGTGACCTCTGCTGCAGCATACCGGTCCATCCAACCTTCTGCCATTGGAAGAAGAATGGCAGATGAGTCTGAGGATGTGATGACTGATTTGAGAATCTCTCCCAGCTCATTGCCAACATTGACAGAAAAACTTGCAGAGTATGAATCACTGCCAGCCAGCTTTGTGCAAACCTTTTTAGTGGCATCTATCTTTAGGACAGATCCAAAGGTGCTTGTCAGAGCGGACCTGCAAGATTTAAGTCTCGTCCACACATCCTCTTCCCAGCAAGCAAAAAACCATCGAGGTCACTTGAATCCTCCCTTCTTCTGTTAACTCAATTCTTCAGTTGTGCCCACTAAGACTCCTTTTGAGTGAAGATCACACTTCCGTAAGTGTTCAGCAAACTTCCTAGCCGTTTTTCTAGGTGCTGGTCTGACAATGTCAGCAAGGACTGTTGACTGATTCAATTCTGTTTGGGTAGGGGCGTGGTCATATCCCGTCCTTTTGGAGGGCATTGGGGAAATGTTTTTTCTGCCTTGCGAATACTGGGGTGGTTCTTTTTCATTCTATACATTCTCTGGAGTTGGCACAGTATGCATCCCTACCTCGCTAACATGTGAGACTGAGGAAGCAGTTGGCAAGGTTGTAGCCGAAACGGATGCGGCAACATGGCAGAGATATTTGCAGAAATAGACAAAATTCTGCTTAACTATGTGCATGTTTGTATTGGCCTTGCACTTGCTACAGTCTCTCTGGAAAAGGGAATAGGGTTTTGTTTAGGCCGAGAATGCATTCGATCTCTAGTGGCATTAATTTTTGATCGATATTTGAAGCGCCTTGCAAGCTTCATCGAATCGGTGAGGGAAGATGTTTGAGAAGATGTCACCAGCTGTGGCTCGGGTTGCCTTTCCTCAGCAACAGGTGGGTTGATGGCTGGGACGGTCACAGTGCTTGTTCCTTTCTGAAAAGAAAGATCATAAGAAACTTGGGTCATGAGCCTGAACATGGCTGACACAAGTGTCGCAAAATATCCTTTTTTTCTTGTGTTATCCTTTTCTCTTGTTTACTCTTAGTTATTTTGTTAATTTCTTCTCCTTGTTTTGTTCTTTTTTCTAATTTAACAATTTTCTCTCTTTTTATATCTTTCTGAGCATTTGTATGTTTTGCCCATTTATAAAGTGCAGATCAATTGTTCCCGGCAAATTATGATAATGTAATGCCATAGTATGTAATGGATTATTAAGAAGAGAGCCGATAAATGTAACATAATATATTGTTATAATGATATTGTGGATGATGACTTAAAACGATAAAAGTAGTAGAATGATATGCATATACAATCAGGTTATGCATTTGGAGGAAATCTGATGGTCCTTTTTTTATTTCAATACATCATTCTCCATCATTAGTTGCAAGAATGGTGATAAATTAATGGTATACAGTATAATTTTCATTGAACGGAAAAAAGAGACATAACGTTTTTGTTCTTATGCCTAGGGTTATCATTGCATCCGTACAATAGTTTTTAATCTAACTTTCAAATTGCAACAGGCTGCTCATTTCTTGTCTTATCTTTGGGACACATTTCACACCTTAGCATCTTCATAGGCCATTTCTTGTGATCTCAAGATCAGTTCTTGATATTTGCAGATCATCAATTGCCCTAGTTTCATATTTTGAAGTCTAATATCACTTTTGGTTCAAAATTTCAGGACAATATCTCTTGATATACCATCACCGCTTGATTAAGCTTTATCAAATGTTTTATCTTGAGTACTGCAGATGGTTTTTTGTACTTGATTGGTGACAGGAGAAGAGTAATTGCCATAAGTTTCAGATGGGATCAAGAGCAATTTTCATTTTTTTCTTTCCTGTCTTATACTGTTGAAACCAATATAGGGTTGCAAGATCCTCTGGTCATGCACAATAACCATCATCTTACATTGGCCACATAGTAGTTACACGACGTATCTAAGACTAGACGAACATGATTTTAGAGACCTTTAGAATTCAGGCTCCAATTGCAATTGAAACATTTAAAGTCGTACCTGTATGTCATTCTTGGAGCTCACACCAACAACCCCCTTAGATAAAAATAAACCTGGGGCAGGATTTGTCCTTCGTTGAAAGTCGTTATGTCTTTTACAAATAGGAAGGGGGCTTTTGGTGGATTGTCAAGCAATTTCATTATTTTATTTTCGCTAATTTCATTATCTTATTTTCATCTTGGGCAGGAATCGATCTTAGCCAGTTCGTTCCACCACCGATTTCCTTTAGTTGGCCACTGCCCAGTTGAGAATTTGAAACGTCCCTCTGCATAGGCAACAAGACGCTCCTTCCATTTCCGCATTTTGCTAAAAGGAAACAAATTCAAAAGAATTGAGCTTTCCTTCCATTCGTAAAAAGCATGCTTTATTAGTATTATATAAGTTTTGTCAGAGAACAAGTACACACCTTGAAGGAACAGAAAAACACTAACCCAACCAACTGAGAAATAGGCAAAACCCTTTGCCACGAAGATCTGAAAATAGAAACAAAACTTGTAAGCATTCAATATTTTCATACCATATATCTACAAGAAATAACTACACAAAAAATATCTACCGAGCCTACCTGATTGTCTAGCAAGATAACAGTGATCAAATTCACTTACATTTTTGCCAAAAAAGGCTGCTTTATCGATCTTATCAACAAAAGTTGACAAGATACAAAGAGAGGATGATTTTCTCAAGGCTGAAAAAAAAATAAAAAACATTGATAAATACCAAATCAAGACGA